GGGGGAGTTGATATTCAAACTGACCGGATCCTGCTAATTCCAAGACGGGTGATATTGTACAAAATAAAGCGATATAAAGCATGCGCACATACTTTAAAAAACCATGTCGAGAAAGTATCCTCCGGCTAGACTCACAGCGATGTAGCGACGTTCTCATAAATGAATTGTCAAATATTTCACGCTATGTTCGTCACAAGGCCCACACGCTTTCTTTTAGACACGTCACAAGCCCTTCTTGTAGGTGCGAAGTGCGAAGTGATTTGTACGCTCTTCCAGTTCTCAGCAGTGCAGCGACGCCTAGGTTGTTGCAATACGCTTATCTCAAAGGCATGCTGTTGAACTCTTTAAAAGTGGTCCATTATGTTTTTGGGCCCTTTAATCTTTTCTTTTTTCTTTTCGCGTTATTTTTCAGGGAAAAAACCCTGAACATTTCCCTCAAACCCCTGAAGTGTACGAAATTAACGCCTTTTTACACAGGTTGTCTCCAACACCACACCACCAGATTAAACGAAGAATGTAACAACTACGACATGAAGATCAATATCAACAAAACAGAGACAATGGAAGTAAGCAGAAAGTCAGAACCACTCAGGATACATACACATCAAAAACAACAGTCTCAGACAGGTCCAAGAATTTAAGTACCTCGGAAGTAGCCTATATTCACAGAGGATGGGCGACTGAACAGAGAAATTGAAACACAAGTACAAAAGGCCAATAATGTTAGTTACCAGCTTACTCCACTACTGAAACATCCTAACATCCTCATGACAACAAAACTCAAAACGATCAACACTATATTCATCCCAACACTGACCTATCAATGCCAAATATGGACCACGAACAAAACATTAGAGCAAAGAATTACAACATATGAAATGCGATGCTTTAGAAAAGCAGTGAACAAGACCAGGCGACACAAAATTAGAAACTCAGTAATCCGAGAAATGGTGGGCACAAAATGATGTCATGCATCACATCCAACACCAAAGAATCAAATGGTTCGGACACCTCCTACGATTACCAACGCACCATCCAGCACAACGTGCCTATATAAAATAAAAATTCGACGGCCACATGGCTAGAGGGCGACCGAGAAAGACCTACATAGATGGAGTCAGGGAAACATTAACCACCCAGGGCATCCCCCTGACCCAAGCTCTCCGGCTGGCGGCAGAGAGACGTCTCTTTCTTCCCGCCACATCCAAAAGGGTATAAGCGGCGGACAAAAAGTAAAGGTAAAATAAAGGTTATGCAAAGGGTGGGTAATCTGATAGTAATTAACAACTCCGATAGAACCGTGTCAAATGGGTTGAAAGCCTTGGAAACTGTACAAAACAAATGGAGTTCAAGAATGCCATGTCAGTTAAACCTTAATTGGCCTAGAATGTGATATTTTAGTGTCTACACAAAAAAGAGTAAGCTAGTCCTTTCAGAGAGGATGGGGGTGTTTTAAAACTACCATAGAAACAAATTACATCATTTTTAGGAGGCAGCTGTCAGGGCTAACCAGTACTGAAAGGAGGGATACATCGTCCCGGCAGAAAGACCGAGATACTTGATTAAAATTCTCTATACACGGGATTCGAACTCGGGTCTTCTGCGTGCGTTAGGGAAGTGGCTAACTACTATAATACCACAAACGCAGGTCACAGCGGTAGTGAAGTCATATCCATTAACCCAATGAAAACGCGCATTCTGATCGTTGGACAACACTTGAGAACAGGCTTTTGTGGGGCACTTTAACTCTTTAACATGTCGCTTACACATAGTATGCACGTAGCCGCTAACCTGTTAAAGATTGAGAAGTAAAATGTTATGAAAAATCTGTATGAATAACGAATATATTATGCTTTTTTAAAGTAGCCACAAATACAGGGTGACTTCAGGCGTTGTTGAATGATCAAAATGTATGTCTTCAATGAGCTTAAAAAACACAGCTTTGAATTCTATTTTCTATATCTGAAAACTAAAAAGCTAGAGATAACAACATTCATGAACATACATGAAATATGCAAATTCAAGTTACTGATTTGTATATGACGTTTCGAAATGTGCCGCAAAATAGCCTTCAATCTGCTGCTGATAGACATGTGCCCGCTACGCCCTAAAAGAGTTAATATTGAGAAGACAGCGAGTTACATTACACAGAGCTTGGAGAACGAGAACACTGAAACATAAGGAGAAATTTTAATCAGGGTACTATTATATTATAAGCCGGGGCTCTTGCGCGCACACGCACATTCGTATTGCTGAGCAAATAAGTTTAGACACGCTGAGAATGCGACGCAAACAAGATACCTTTAGTGAACAGTAACAAGATATTTACTGCATATATATAAAAAATATACCTTCTGATTGGCAAACAGATATACATATCTATTTATCTATCTATCTATCTATCTATCTATCTATCTATCTATCTATCTATCTATCTATCTATCTATCTATCTATCTACAAAGAATATACCAGGAGAAGGCAGATAGATAGATAGATAGATAGATAGATAGAGACAGATATATACATATATATATATATATATATATATATATATATATATAAAGATATAGATAGATAGATAGATAGATAGATAGATAGATAGATAGATAGATAGATAGATATCCCAAAAGAATAATACTAGGAGAAAGCAGATAGACAGATATATATATATATATATATATATATATATATATATATATATATATATATATATAGACAGAGAAATATATATATATATATATATATATATATATATATATATATATATATATATATATATATATATATATATATATATATATATATATATAGACAGAGAAATAGATATATAGATAGATAGATAGATGGATAGATAGATAGATAGATAGATAAATAGATAGACAGATAGATAGACAGATAGATAGATAGATATATAGATAGATAGATAGATAGATAGATAGATAGATAGATAGATAGATAGATAGAATATACCAGGAGAAGACAGTCTTACCTTCATAACGTTACAAGCCTGGGATAGCTGACAGCTATAGAAAAAATATCTTCAATGGGACTGTCTTTGAAGTACTGACAAAGAGGGAAATGGATTATCTTTCTCATAAAACGCGCTAGATCTAGAATGTATTCGGCACAGCTGCTAAGACTAAGAGCAAACTGTCAAACCCTGAGACCTATTCCCCAAAAAGGTTTGAAGCGTTTGTCTGTTTTCTGTCTAACACAGAGTAAGTTTCCAAGGCAAGATAGTAGTCATACAACCCCAGCGAGTGCCAGATGTCTTTATTCACAGTGCAGATGTCACATGTTATTCGACCGAAGGCAAGCTATTTTAGTATTTCAGACAGATTCAAATGTAAGATCCCAATGTTTCAGTCAAAGGAAACCGTAGCTGTTTGTAAAGTTTAATTTAGCTGTTTCTACGGCAAAGGGTTCAGT